GCCTATTCTTAAAACCCCAAACTGCCTTTGCTTCTAAATGCATACAGCTCTATCCAAGACCTCAACACAGTTGTTAACACTTTGTTTTGAATCACTGAAACTTTTTACTTGGTTTGAGAAACCAGTTCCATGGGCCCAGTGGCACAATTCTTCAGTATTTAGCTTAGGAGGTGTCCAGCATCTCAGTGAGCTTCAAAAACCACTGCCCTTTGGGAGCTCAGCAAACAACAGAGTGAATGGGTAGCCATTTCAGGTGCAGAGCTCATTAGCAATTCATCTGATGGAGGAAACAACTAGAACAGAAAACTTCGACTGAAACGCTAGGACAGACTAAGTTTTTAGGTCAAAATATGCATTTAATGGTGGATCTTAACCTAAGTTTTGCGTTCAAGGTGGTAGATTACTGGATCTAAGAGGGACACCCCCCCCCCCCCCCCACGTCTTAACCTAAAAAGCAATCTTCTAAAGAAATCGCAAAGGAATTTAACTCCAAATTTCCTTGCTTAATCATCCTCTTCACCTCATTATATTCTTGATATCTCTTTTAAAAATTCGCCCCACTAAAGCCTCATAAATGTCCAAGCAGCCTTTTTCTTAAAGCCAAAGCCAGCCACAAGCAAAACAACCCAGAAGACTTCTATATGGGGCGGTACGGGGAGTCTAAAACCACTGATCAATAGGTAGAAAAATGAGTATCAAAAACCTGCAATGTTAACATCAAATCTTACAAAATGAATTCCCGTTTACAGCGAAAAAAAAAAATCTGCAAAAGCAAGTTCATCAAGAAAATTTTCCTTCTACCTGCGGATCTACCACAATCTAAAAGAATCCCCCTATTTTTCATAGCCTTATCTCAACACAGAACCTAGGGCCGCTATCAGAATGAGGAACTAAAGAGGCTTGCCAAAGTTCAAAGACAACATTTCGTCGCTACATTAACAAAAAATAACACATCACGGACACGAATGCTAGTTAAGTTCTATTACTGAACAACTTTAATCACAAAATACACCAAGACCAGTATTCAAAAGCGGCCATGCCCCAACATAAAGTTTCAAAACAAAACCTCTCCCAAGGTTTGGGGGAGTTGCCCAGCTCGGAGATAAAACGCACCACCCAACAGCCCTATTTGTCTGCTAAGGCAGATCTCAAACTTATCAAAAGCAGCCACTAAGGCAGCTCCTGTCACCCAGAAGCGCGAAGAGAGAGGAGCCTGAAGAGAGCTGGCCTTTCTGGAGACAGCCTGGCCGAGTCTGGCTCAGACAAGGAGGAAGTAACTGCCAGATAAAAAAGCCCTGAGCAGCTCCAACTGCAGCCTCTCGATCTCCCACAAGTGCCCACATTCCCGCCCCATTCGGGGCTCCGGGAAGAAGGGAACAGGGCGCAGGTCTCCCACGAGAGGCTGGAGACTACAGGTCCGCTTCTTCCAGGAGGCAGCGGCACACGGGCAGAACTCTAAGGGGCCCCGGAACCCAGGGTGCTAGAGCCTGCTCCGTAGGAGTGTTGGGGGGGACGCTGAGAAAGGGGTCGCTCAGGAGGCGGGGCCTGCCGGGTGGAGGCAGCATTTCCTAGCGCCCTGGCTGCCCCCCGAGGTAAACCGGGGCGCGCACCCCGACGCGGAAGCCATGCTGGTCAGAGCTCGGGGTGCTGAGGAGCCGGCGGGGGGCGCTGAGGAGATCTGGGGGCGCGGAACTGGGTCACCTCCACCCCACCGCCCCCTCACAAAGGCCCCCGGGGAGGCCGCCCGCAGGCCGTGCAACCCCGGCCTCGAGTGCCCGCCTCGGCCGCCACTCACCGCTAGGTCCTGGGGCACCGCCCCGCTCATGGCCCGCACCGTGCCGGCCCGCCAGGCCCGAGTGCGCAGCGCAGGCCCCGGATCTCCGCCCGCCGCCGCCGCCGCCGCCGCCGCCGCGGGGACCGAGGCCGAGGACGAGCCCGCGGTGTCCGCGAACAGAAGCAGCAGCCGCTTGCCCACCGGGGAGGCCGCCGCGTCCGCCATCGCCAGGGCCGGCCGGACCCGTGCTCCCGCCCGCCGCCTCCCACCACCTCCGCCGCCGATCTCCCGATCCCCAACAGCCACCACCAACCACCGGCGCCTCGCAGCGCCCCCCGTGGTCGGGAGCGGAGCCGCAGCCCGGGCCCCGCACAGCGCCCCCCGCGCTTCGGAGCGGGGCGGCAGCTCCGGGCCCCTCGCAGCGCTCCGCCCCAATCTCCCCGGGGCCTGCAGTGCCCCCTGCGGCAGGGAGGGGAATTGCAGTTTCGGCCGGGGTGGGGAAGTGGGCGGGACATTCAGTCTCCCTTGGCACCATCCTGGTGCCATATTTCCCTTAGGGGGCCCCTTCATCTGAGAAGGTTTTAGCTTACCTTCCTCGGATACCAAAGACTTTAACTGGGGTGGGTGGCTGAGGGGCAAGTTACCTAGAGAATTGATATTCTGAGATAAGAAGTTAGTGCCCCAGTACCTGATTGATTTCCAAGCCTGAAAAAAGGCGCTACCCTCCCGTCCTTATCTTTTAGGAAACTTCCCATTGGCCCACGGGACATAGTATCTTTCTTCTCACCAGTCCATAACATGGTACCATTTCATTATTTGAAATTATGGTATCATTTCATTACCAATACTTCATAGGTCCCTTTCCAATTGACCAACATTTTATACCCATAGAGTGATAATGCCACTCTATATTGGCTGAAGGCCAACATGCTTCCAACATCTCAATAGTCTGACATATCCCAGTGGAGCTTCCTCCTGCTTCCAAATCAGCCAATGTTATTAAGTCCAGGTGTTTCTCAATTCAACTTTTAAGGGAACTGGAAAGAGACCAAAGTATATCTTACCATGGAAATAAGTGGAGCTGAGGACAAAGAAAACCCCACCACTCCTATCTGAATTCATAGGCATGGAAGACTGATACTCCTGCCAGAAAAGTGATTGTAGAGAAGGGGAGATACATATTTTTTGCCTAGATTTTTGTTTACACTGGGTAATGAGAAATCTCAATCATTAACATTGGTTATGTTAGAGACTAGCACAAGTCCCATAATCTTATGGATGCAGAGTATACATGGAAGTAGATACAAACCAGGAAAAGGTATGGTATTAATCCATGATTACTACCCTAAAAGTACCCATTTCTTTCACTGATCTGACCCACAATTAAGAGCAGTAGCATTCTTTCCAGACTTATGTGCCTACCCAGAAATCTGTCCAACATCTTCTTTACCCTTGACCTACTTGCCTTGTAGCAAAGGTTGGGGGCCAGAGGGAAGTACCAGTTATTGGCTTCAGTCAAAATACAACATCCAGTGAAGCCATTCTAGAACTAACCCTATGGAGCACCAAGGAAACATTTCTTTGGATTTTTTCCTCTCCTTATTCCTTACAATGTCCATTTCCCATAGCCAACCTGAGGCCTGATTCAATTTTTCTTGATTTTTCTGGGCCAAGACACCTCTTAAAGCACACACACAAATTGTAGTTGGTAGAAAAGAGGGATGAATCCATACATGACCTAGCTGCCTTGCAGATTTTCCATTAAAATTCACTGCTGGGATTTTCTCCCACGTGGAGCTCTTATTACTGTCCCACTGTCCAAAGCTGGCTTCTCACAGCACCAGACACAAGTGGTGTCTTTGTGCCTAAGCTCAGGAATGGGAAAGCAAAGATTAAAAAAAAAAATTAATTCAACAAATATGGCAACACTTTTCATAAGCCAGTAAGTTTTCAAAGTGTTGGGGCTACAACACTGAATAAAACAAAACCCTCATAAAGTTTATATTCTTTCCTATGCTTCAGCAATGGAAAATGAAATCACACTAGCCTTCAGAGAAAATAAACAGTAGAAAAACCCAACAAAAAAACTGAACAGAAAGGAAAAAAGCAGAGGGAGGTAAGTTTAGATGTTCAGGCCTTAACCCTGCTCAAACAGTAGGTGAAACGTAACAGCAGTTTTATACAAAGAACGAACCTGTAATTCTGAGATTCTTTAACCACATGCCATAACCCTACCCCCTCAAAGCCCTTCTAACGTTTCCAGGATAGGTGACAACTCCCACTCTTTTCAGGGTGTATTTTCATCCCCTCAAAGTTCCTTCTCCAGGTAGTCAAGCCAATCCTGTCTCTTGTACACTTCATTGGTATTCAGTGATGAATGCCACCAATTTGAAGCAGGAAACTGGGTCGGAGGCTAAGCAACTTGACTCTTCTTGCCACCTGGCAAGTCAGTGCTACAACTGGTAAAGAAAGGCTATGCCTTAGGGACAAGAGGCTCCTGCCTGGCTCTCTAAGCAACTACACTTCACCCACACACATTGGAAGAATGCTAACAGAGGGAGAAGAAAGGGTGGAATAGAAAGGTTTAAAGAGAGAGTGAGCCACACTGCTTCTTTCAGCAAATGAACATTCCAAATTGAAGCATTAGGGAAAATACCACCTTCTAGAGCAAAAAAGCAGCTCTGCTGCTAGGGTAGTTGACCAAAATCAGTATTTTCAGGATGGAGAAATTGCTGAGGTCTTTGGACTTTGAATTTTGACAACTTTATCTCCAGCTCTCCACAACATAGTGTGTGAAAACTCTGAAAAGACACTCCTGGACAAGGTCCCTATCATGCCTTCTCCATATTCCCCAAAGCCTACAAACCATTCTAGACAAGATTCTAATTGCACCATCTAGCATTTCTCAGGGAGGAAGAATGGATTAATACTTGACTTCACCCTGCTGGAAGTGAGAGTGACAGGAGGTAAGAAGAGATGGGTATAAGTACCAAGGAAACAGGAGACCAAATCAGACTGCCAGAAATAACTGAGGTCTTAGGAGAAGCTGGGTCACAGGATATAACTACTGTGGCTGCAAAGGGCCCAGGGACCAAATACTGTCCTTGAGGGGCAAAAGTTCAGCCATGTCATAGAAGCAGCAGCTGGAAGAGTTGGGTGGCCTTCTCCTCACTTCTTCCTTGCCTTTCTTTGTGAAGAAAGGAAGACGACACTGTAGTACACAAGGTTGCTTGGGAAAATGGATTATTCTAATAAAACTTTATTTTTTCAAACACAGCCACAGAGGCAGGACCTCATGTTTAACACACACAGACTTATGGATTTTTTTTTAATATAAAACAAAGTTTACGAAAAATTTTTTTCCACTTTTTATATTTGTAATCCCATTAGCACAGGGACTTTGGCAGCAGGTGGGAGTGAAGGGCAGCTGGAGCTGCCAGTGGGCAGTCACCGGGCACAGGAGGAGAGCACCAGCCTGGGAGTGGCTTCACTCACACACGCAGGAATACTCACCTACTGATCAGCCACACCACACACACAACACAGATGCAGATGTCTACCCAGGGCCAACCACTGCAGAGGTGTGTTCCACTCTGGGTAAGCCCAATATGTGAAAATCCAAATTGTCAAAACAGCTAAAGTAGAGGGAGGTTGCTTGCTTTACAAAAGAAGCAATCACAGGCTGCTTTTAAATGGTCAGCAGTCCAAATGCTTTGAAAAATAGCATTTGGTTTATACAGAACTGTTGGAACAGATCTACCGTGTAAAGCAAAATAAACCACTTCTTGAAAAGGCTTGTCCAAGGACCACAGGTACTTAGATTAGGAAGCAAAACAATAGCTCCAGCTAGTTTAACTTTCCAGATCTTAAAGTAATGGAATTCAAATATGGCATCTATAGACCTTCTCCCTTAGGGATGGTGCCCTTAGGGCTTTGAGGAAGCCAGGGTGGAGGCAGAAATTATTGCCCTCACTTCTTCAGCTTTGGGCCTGCAGAGAACCCCTGACATTACCAGTGGCCTATTGTAAGCTGGCACAATCTGCAGCAGAGAGCCCAGGGATGAGGATGCCCCAGGAGGAAAAGAAGCTGGCACCAGGGAAATTATGGCCTAAAGAGGGAGAACAGCCAAGGGAGGGATAAGACCAAGGAGGGGCAACTCCTGGGCTCACAGTTTCCTTGGATTCTCCAGAGAACCTCTCTCAGGCCCCTACAGACCTGGTAGCTCACTGGTAACTCGTGCTAACTAGCAGATGAAGGGAAGGAGTCCTGGAGGGGCAGAACCTTAGTCTAAAGGCAGGAGGCTGAAGAAGACATAGCCATCTCCTCGGGAGTGGAGGCCAGGATGCTAGGGCCTCACTGATGCTCCTATCCAACATGTGGGAGACCCAGAAAACCACAGGTTCAATTCCATAAGGAAGAAAACACATAGGTCCTCTTCCCTAACATGAGCAATTGGTTCCTACAAAACCCTGGGAAAATGCCCTTCTTCCAGTAAACAGGAAGGGCAGGTCCAATTTGGTCCTGCAGGGTCTAAGCAAAGCTGGACAAAGCCTCAAAAGCCATTATGGCGGCAGCTTCAGCATGTATCTCCCCTGGAACCAGCTCTATAGAGCTTCTGAAATTCTTAAACCCATCAGTGTGGCCACTGAGACCTGTTGCCTGGGTACAAGTTGTGGGTGTGAAACAATAAAAGAAATTCAATCCAGCAACAACAAACTCCCAGCTGCTTCTCACAGTCTGCTTTACGCATCTTCAGCCAATCCCTCAGTGAGCCTCAACCTCTCAGAGGTCTCTAAGGGCCAATTAGAGGCAAATAAACATTTCCTGGCAGGAGTGGAAGACAAGCAAACTAGTAAATGCTGACATCCCCTTCCTCTTTCTCAACCAACTCAGAAAAAATGGCTAGGCCTGGATCTGATAACGAGTTTCTCTACAGTCTGCTTCTAAAGGGCAGTGCTGGGGTGCACTCACCTATGCCTGCTGGGGACTGAACACTACTTCTGCTGCAGGTCAGCCTCCATACAGGGGCTTCCTTCCTTCTTCTTGACCCTCAAAGGGCAGAAAGTAAGAGGGAAAAGAGGTCCCATCAGTAGGGAGGGAAAGAAAGAGATGGAGCCCTTCAGCCCTGCCTTAATTGCCCACATGTGCTTGCATCTACTTAGTGAAAGAGACAGGCAAGTTGTATCCAGCCTTGGCAATCTGATGAGAAAACAAAAGCCAGCTCAGAATCAATATGCAGCTCTCTCTCCAGCCAATACTAGATCTATCTGGAGGAGGTGTGGGCCTGAGGAAAAGACCATTAGTTGAGGACCCCCAAATAGAATCCTTTGCAGAGCCACTGTTGCTAACAGATTACAAGCTTGCTTCCAGAGCTCCTTAGAACCCCGACTCCTAGAACAAGCCTGCTGTCCCGTGAAAACCCAAGATCCTGGGAGTACTGTGGTGCTCTGCTGTTAGGGAGCAACTGCCTTCCTTCCCTAAGGCTACCCAAACACACCTTTCCTCGAGCACTCTCATGCACTCACACACTCTCACACAATTTCTCCAAGGAGGCTGAATGAACCCCCCACCCTGGCCAAATTCTAAGACACAAGTGCCCTTTGAAGCAAAGGGGCTAGTGAAATTCCCCGAGCTGGGGTCGGCAGACCCCTTCCGTCCCTGCCCATTGCTTTCTCGGTGGCAGGGATACTCACACTCAGGGCCGCCATGGGAAGGGTCTGCTCTGGGGCTGTCCCTCCCGCCACCAGCTCCGTTTATCTTGTCCCGGCCAGTCTCTTGGCATGGTCGAGCTTCCTGGAGCGAGAAGATTTCCGGCTGCCCTGAGTCGGAGCCCTCCATTCACCCCCATTCCCAGGCTGGGCCCCCGGCCTTGGGACCTCGACACTTGTTAGTAGCCGTAAGAGAGTCAGTCTGTGTAGCCCCAGGAAGTAGCCTCTCAGTTTTAGTTCTCCTCAATCAGATTCAAGTCCAGGTCCCCAAAGTCCTGCTGGCACAGTGTCCGCTTGCTCAGCGCCTGCCGCCCCCACCGCACGGCCCCCTCCTCTTCCTCTTCGCTTTCACTCAGCACCTGGGAGGAACCCCCAATGGGGCTGCAGGAAGCAGAGAGGGGTGGGGGGCTGCAGGCCATGAACCATGGTGGAGAGATACTGCTGCCTTCCCGGGCTGTTTCTTGGAGACAGAGACCTCCTGAGTATGGTTTCTGTCAAACAAACAAACAAACAAAATTAAGGCAAAGAAAGATGTTAACTTCCCAGAGAACCTTGCCCAAGCTGTATTTCAAAGTAACTCTCTTGGTTACCCTTGAAGGCAGGAGTCCTATGCATTAGGGTGAGGTCATGAACTCCCAGGTAAAATTTGAAAATTTAGTGTACATGCATATTTTTTTGAGGAAAAGAGACCATAGTTTCTATCAGATTCAAGATTAGAAGCCTGTTTATAAACTTCATGTGTGTAGGAATACTACCTGATGGCTTGTTTCACTCCTATATTGCCAGTACCTAGTCGGAGTCTGTTACATAGTAGGTATTCAATAACGTTTGTTGACTGCTTGAATGAATGACTATGAATAAGTGAGTAAGTTCTCAAAGTGGTTTATGACCCAGTGGTCTAGAAGGAAGAATATGAAAAGGGTGGACAAGTGCCTACAACAACTGTACTCACACTGGGAAGACAAAAAACATTTGTTGAGCGAATGAATGATGCAGCAGCCTATTTTGCTTAAGCCCTCACAGGCCCACGTGAAGCAGTGAAGGGCAAGGGACAAAACCAGCCATGCGTGAGAAGGGGCAAGGCACTAATGATTGGGTTTTTCTGAGCCATGCCTAAGGAGGGAAGATGCCTCCGGTAGGACAATCTGGGATCTCTGTTGGAAGGTTTAACATGGGTTCACTAAGTTTCTCTGGAACCCCCAGAACAGGAATTTCACAGGACACAGGACTTTCAATGCTAAAACCAGGATAATCCTGGGCAAATTGAGATGGTAGACCACCCTTAGCAAAGGCTCAGGCAGACAGGAGCGCCAGGGGAGGCCACGTCAGGAGGGCCTGGAGCTAGAGGACACCTCACAAGTGAAAACGGAACAGTCTTCACTACTCCCATCCTAGCTTCCCTGGTCTTGCTAGTCCCACCTGATTCATCTTGTCAAAGTCCAAGGAAGGCCGCAGCCGCCGAGGGTCCTCCTCGTGGCGCCGCTTGACCCCAGCTTTGCGGGCATCAAGATCACAAGGCTGTGAGCGGCTTCGGGGAAGATTGCGCAGGCCTCGAGGTCGCCAGGGCAGCTCTGGGGAGGATGCAGGGGAGCTCCGGGCAGAGGGCAAGAAGCGGCTTGCCTGTGGGCCCAGGCTGGGTGACAGGGAGAAGCGGCGTTGGGGTGGGCAAGGTGACAGGGACTCAGCATCACTCTCCCAGGAGCCACTTTGCGGGGAAGCGGCAGAGGGATGAGAGGAATCTTGGGCTAGGGCCAGGCTGAAGAAAGGGGGGCTGTAGGGTCTGTGGGCTGGGGCACATTGAGAAGAGGCACTGGGAGCTTGGAGGAACCTGAGGCTGGAGACCCGCTTCGGGGGGCTCTGGTGAGGCACCTGCGGCCCACCCCCTCCACCACTGCCCCGGTGCTTGATGGGAGTCCACAGCTTGGAGGGGGCGGGCCGCCACACTGGCTGCCAGCGAGACAGGTCCACGGGCACTGAGAGTGAGCGGCAGTGCCTCTTAGATGGAGGGGCAGGGGGCACAGGAAGCTTTTCTGGGTCTGGGGGCTCAGGGCTTAGGACTTGGGAGAGGGACTGCTCCTGTGGGGAACTTCCCGGGCTGGGTGGTCTGAGGTGCAGGCTCAAGCCTGAGGGGTGGTAGCTGAGGTTGAGGCTATCCTGGAACTCGGCACAGGAACAGTGGGGCAGGCCCCTCCAGGAAGCACCTTCTGGAAGGCATTCATAATAAATATAGAATTAATGATAGCTAATATATTTTCAAGAGCTTACTATGTGCTAGAAAACATAATGAGCACTTTATGTGAGGTTTCCCCTAAACTTCATGAGTTGGGTACTATCACTACCCCCATTTCACAGATGAGAGAAGTTCCGTAACTTGCCAACAGTTATGCAGGAATCAAATGACCAAAGCAGGGTTCAGAACAAGATTTGTCTGATGCTAAAGATAGGTCTTTTACCCAGTAGACTATAGTGCCTCCGTTACGAGGAACCACCTGAAACTAAAAATATAGAATCATAAACTGCCTGCGAATCCCTCTCAAAGGTAGAATGAGTCAAGAGAAGCGAAGGTGTGTGTGCCACGCTCATCTTTCACTCCACTCCACCGAGCTCTACTTTGCTCCCCCAACCCCCCAGCCCTGAGTTGCGGAAAGCTGGCCTACACTGTCCGTCCTTAGCCTTTATTTTTCCTGTGTGTCAAAGCACCAAGACAGGGTGATCAGGCAGGTAAGAGATCATTTGGATTCCTAGTGAAGGCAAGGGTGGGGAGGGTACCCTGGGAAAGGCCTTTGATGCTGCTTGTGTTCTTCTGGGTCTGGCCACCCACAAGGAAACACTGAACATACTTACATGGAAAGATCTTCTAGTCTTATTATGATTAGTTTAAAAAGAAAGTTCCAAATATACAGAATGCAACCTTTTGTGTTAAAAGAGTGGGAATAAAAAAAAATTTACATTTATATTTGCTTCTATTTGTAAAAAACCAAAAACAAAAATTTGGTTGAATAGACAAGAAACTAATAACAGGAGTTACTTTTAGGGAGGTGATAGAAGCTGGGGAGATAGAAAAGGAAGGGGGACTTTTTTCAGTTTAACACTTTTCCTATTTAAAAAAATTAGAAACGTGACTGTATTGCCTACTCAAAAAATTACATTATAAAAGTTCCTACAAGGCTAGAATAAGAGCAAGGTAAACAGATAACTCCCATACTGGTGCAATAAAATGGAGACAAGCACCAATCTCAGTAGCTGACCCTGGTAAGAAAATTGTGGAGGCAGGCTAGCTAGACCTGGTTATGGAAAACCAATAAAAGAAACATGTGGATGGAGGCATGGGCATACACACAAATATACACACAATGTCTTACCAGACACAAGCTGGAAAGGGTTCCCACAGTTGGAGATGTCTGCATGATCAGGCAAAGGCTAAGAGACAGAGAATATCCATCATGATTCAAGATCAGGACAGAGTTCCAAGAAGACCTTTCAGCTCACCCCTGCAATTCATGGGCTATAGGGATATTAGGGACACCTAAGTGTTCTCTTCTTATCCTCCCCGTTAGTAAAATAATTCACATCTTCCAGTATCTCAAACCCTTCTCCACCCAAATTTTAGTGTCCCTTCTCTTAACAGTAAAAAAATCCCTGCCCCTTTTCTTTTGGGCTGGGTTTTGAGTCTTTAGTGGGCACATCCAGTACAAGTACCATGATTCATATAGCACAGGACAAGGGTGAAGTAGTAACAACAAATAGCCTCAGAAAAAAGGGCAAGGGGCTCTTAAAGAAGTGGGAGACTGTCTTTTACCAGACTGATGCTGAAGCGTGTGCATTTCAGCTCATCCAGAGTCTGCTTCTGTAGCTGCTCAGTGATCAGGGTTATCATGATTCTCCCCGGGATTTGACTTGCACACTTTGGAGCGAATGATGGATGTCTTCCCTGTTGTTCTTCCAGACCTCACTCGTGAGCCGTCTTCTGCCACTGCAGCACCATTCTAGCACCATTAGGACTTCCCTCTCCAGTCATGCCTGCTGAGTCTGCCAATTACAGATGGATCAGCCCCAAGTGATATTAGAGATGTACCTAGTCCAGAGATGGAAAATGCATGGCACACATACCCCAGCATCCCTATGTCAGGCCTCTGGCAGACATCATCAACTGATCACAGCTCTTTCCGGCTAAGCCTAAACATAGCCTCAGAAACATTCTCAACTTGGCACTCCGGATAACCAGTATAATAAAATGGAGTTGGCAAGCAAGTTGAAACCTATTTGCCACTCCTAACCTGGTTCGTGCTCTGCTCTGCCTACCCAAAATACCAGCATCACTTAGAAAACAGCTCAAATGAGAGAAATGCCCACATTGTTATTTCCATCCTGATTAGTCCAATATTTTATCTTCCAGTCAAAAGCAAGGAGAGGTAGCCTTTTCCTAAACTACAGAAATAGTAACAGTGCAGTGGTTGTAGGAATGACTTTCTACTTCAAACCAGAGTAAACAAGGTATTATATTCTCCTTTATCCCGAACAGCTGATATTATTGTTCTCCAACAGATACTGTACGTACTCTCTTATAAGAAGATAAGGAAATGCTACCAGGGTAATTCCATTCACATTTCAACTCTATAGATGTTAAAAACAACAACTCTAACTTCATTCAACAAAGTTTTTAGCCTGATTTGACTCAAAGACCATGAATACAATTAATCAAGACTCTTTCTCATGGTCAATTACAGTAGAAGCAAACTAATTCTATCAGAGAATAGGCTTCAAGCCCACACAATTGCCTGAGGGACCTCGATCAAGGGAGGAGGAGGGGAAGTTAATCTAACATTTCCATACTGTTCTGCCTATTCCCAGAAATGACCAGCAGGCAGACAGCAATCAGACAGTATAAGTAGCATTTGCTAGCAGAGAGAACAAACTATCAAGAAATCAAATCTGATTTGCTGTGATGGTCTTGGCAAATCATCAAACTTTTCTTTCCCTCAGTTTACCTATATGAAAAATGGGCAGAATAATCTTAATCTGTCACAGGGATAATATAATGCAAAATATCAAAACATAAGAAGTATACCACTTGGACTGTACAAATCAGAAGTCCACACAGACTGCCGTTTCTCACCCTTCCTATTTGCTGCTCTACAAAGCCTCAGGTTGCTACAAGTGATAATAAATATTAAGATGAAGAAGGCAATTGGGTAGATTTATTTGGCTGGGTATCAACCTCCCTCACTCACATGCCAAGAAAAACCCAAAAGGCTTGACCTTGAGGGCAGATAACTTTCAACTCTGGCCAAAAAAAAAAGGGTGGGGGGGGGAATCCCTTCTACTCGATTTCCACCTCAGAGGGAGGCAGACCACAAAGAAAGGCAAAGAAACACACTTCGATGTACTTGGAGTTTAGGCAAAAAGGAGGCAGGAGAAGTCAACCACCACTATAGTTAAATAACATTTTCATGCATAATTATTATTACCACCCTGAAGTTCCAGTTTCCTGAGCACTCCCTTCAGCTGCTTCCCCCATTCTTGTAGGAGAAACTAAAGCTTGTATCACTTCTGCTCTTGATTTCTTAATTCTGCCCTCAAAGACCAACCAGAGAGGAAACCTAAGGCAGGCTTTTACCCCCAGAGACCCCAGGCCTCAGGCTGACCAGCCATGAGGAGCAGGGAATGCAGCAAACTCTTTCAAGGTTTTCATGAGGCATTTGGCCAAATAGCAAACTTCCAGCCCTCTCTGGGATCAAGAGTGATTTTGTGTTTTTCTGCATTTTAATTGTTGGGATGTGACCACACACGGCGGTAATTAGAACAATGCAACCACCACCACGCAACTGATACTTTCAGTCTGAGTTTCCTAAAACAGGCCAGGCTGAGAGGGGGAACAGAACGGAAGCCATAAGGAATCAAACCAGGACACAAAAGAAGGCAAACCAGCTCCGCGAGGGGCCTCCTCTTTCTCAGGCAGGCAGAGAAAAAAGTGTTAAGAAGCTCTCTCTTGCCGCCTTCCTTCCCCTTCCATTTTGTGTATCTGAGGGGCACAGACAGCCCTGAACGTTCACTAAACAAGTTAAAACTTCTCAGCTTAACAACTGGCATGGGGCTAAGCCCAACACAGAGCGGCAGGCCGCTAGGCCCTCCCTCAAACCCCACCAGGCCCAACTCTCAATTCAAGCTTTCTCTGCACCATCACCTCTCCCTCAAATAAAGGTTGGACCCCCACCCCACTGGGTGGCAGTAACCCCTGACATAAGGGTTTCAGGGATGCTGAGGTTGTGCTTAAACCTAGATAACCTAGGATCAAGTCAGGCCAAGGAAGAAGAGAGTCAAAAACCCCTGGAGACCTTCCCCCTAGGTCCCAGTCCCACAGCTCTGGGGGAGACTGAAGAAAAACATGAGGCAGGGAGGCACACGAACAGGTATGTGGGGACCTGGCTTTTTCTCCATATGGCACCGGTGGGCATAGGGGTGACAAGTGGGAGCACCCCTCCCCCCACCCCAATGAAGAAGCAAAAGGCTAGGCCCCCCTCTCCAATCTTCAACCTCTCCATCGGTTGCTCTGTCTGTCCCCGCGGGGTGGGGCATGGGGCATCCGCTAGCCCCTTGGGGTGGGGGGGAGGGCGCCGGGGCACGCTCAGGGGGGCTGTCGCTCGCCTGTTCCCAATCAGCTCCCATCATCTGGACGCGGGGAAGCGAACTCAGGACACAGCGGACGGGAGGGTCTGGGACTTAACACTCCGCCACCCCCTCCCCCACCGGGTCCCGTGCTCTCCCCGCGGAGGCGGCCAGCGAGGCCGTGCCTCGCGGGCGGACGGGCTGGGGGAGGGGAAGGAGGGAAGGAGGGAGGGACAGTCTAGGCGCCCGCCCCGAGGCCCCAGCGCCACCTGCCCTCCGCCACCTACCGCGGCTCCTCCAGTTCCCAGGGCCGCGGCCGGAGCAGCTCTGAGCGCTCGGTTCGCCCCACGGTGCCCTTAAAAGGCGCCGGCGTGAACCAACGGGCCTCTCAGGAGAGTGGAGAGATCGCTTGGGTTGGGAGAACCCCCCCTGAACCGTCCACGGAGGCTCGAGCTCCGCGTCGTTTTTCTCGCAAAGTCTTTCTTGGCTAACGCCGTCGGAAAGAGGCCGGGCTCTTTGATTTAGCTATGAGGGTGGTTTCCTCCCTAGGAAGTCACCCCCTGCAAAATATTGCAGAAGGTGGACTGGGCCAGTCGAACGCAAATCTCGAAACGCGCGGGGGAGGCCGTGTCTGTCGAAGGTAAACAAAGCCATTGCCCCCGCCCTCTGCTACTACATCAGCCCACGGACAGCCCCCAACTCGATTCCGGCAGCGTAACGGAATTAGCCAGGATTCCTCTCACCTGTTCTCCTGCCCCCACTCTCTACGGCCTCGGGCTCTGAAGGAATCCCCCTTCCCCCAGCAGAGGACCCGTCCGCGTCGTGAAGGCTTCTGGGAGGCGTAGTCCAAGCGGCGATTAGGGCCTGCTCTGAGTCCCAGGAGCCCCTCTTCCAGCTGCCGGATCGGCTCGAACCTTATAAACCCAGGACCTGTAATGGTTGCGGGCCGTTCCCACTTGGTTGTGTAGTTAGCTGTCACTCAAAATACTGTAAATCCGACGAGGGCTCAGGGCTGTTCACTCCTTCTCCTCCCTCTATGCCCCCACCCCCAGCAGGATGAGGTAATGGGATTGTGATTATGACATCATAGGCGGTTCAGTTGCTTGCGTGGGGGAGGGGGGAGAGGGGAAAGTACGGTAGTTGCAGCTGGACCCCTTTAAACCTTTCTGGGAGGGAGGAAACAGGTCGCTGGGGGAAACGATATTGATAGTGCTATATTCCTCTTCAGGGAGAGGAAACCACCTTTTATTAAATCTCCATCGCTACCACTGCCTCCTACTCAGCCAAAGTTTAAGTCCTTTTTGAAGAGACTGAATGTAGCAGTTGGTAGGTGAAGAGGTTGTGGAACAGCTAGGTGGTTTCTGGCTCTTAAGTAAATTTGAGTATCAGCTATCAAAGAAGGTTTAGACAGAGGGTAAAACATGGGGAAAGAAGAGGTTTTAAACAATGCCTTCGTGTTATGATCACGTTGTGGGACGGAGTTTTAGATTTTTAATCAATTGGAAAGCAGAAGTACTGCAAGTAATCTTCACTATTACATTCAGCAAGAAGTCCCCTAAAAGACACGTTTTCCCTAAATATTTTATGCACCACTGAAGTCTGGGACAGATAAGTAATCGTGACCAGCTCAAAGGTAGAGCCAGTGGTGGGAATCTTCCTCAGAAAGACAGAGAAGGCAGGAGCGACCAAATCTGCAAACTGAAAAAGAAGAGTAAAGGGAAAGTGAGGTAGTTATCAAGAAAATACGAAGAGCAAGGGGGTGTGATGGGAGATACACTGCATATTTGTTTGCCCTGCACATTTGTTTGCCCTGCATATTTGTTTGCCCTGCATATTTCCCCTTGGCAAAAGAAGGGTCAGGGACCATGAAGTGTAGAGGACACGGTTTCCAGTAATTGCTGCTATGGAGCGTTTATGTGCCAGGCACTGTGCTGCGTACTTTAAATATGTATTCTCATTTTTGTTTACAATCATCAGATGAGAGAAAATTTCCCTGTTTGACAGATGAAACAGCTAGCTACCCATGTGGTAGACAATGGTAGTATTAAAAAGCTGTCTGAGACTCTAAAGCCCTTGGTCTTCACCACTAGGTAAATCTCCCTTTTTATTTAGTAATAAAATATCATGCTTACTAAAGGTAAGTGATTGAGTATAAGAAGTTAGCATTGGTGCGTTTGCAAATTTGAAACACTTAAAACAACCAAACTCTGCAAGTCAAATTTCAGGTCTTGATTCAAAGGAAAATGACACCCATTTCATCAAATATAAAACAGTGTCCCCAGTGCAGCCCAGCCTCTTCCCCATTTCTAACTATAACCAGATCTCTTTATGCCACTTTTGGTTCAAGGTTTTTTTTTTTTTACTCACATTCTGCATATTCCCCCCCCCCCCCCCCCCCCCCCCGCTGTTCCATTTTCTTTCTTTTGTTCTTGGGCTACTGCCTTGAACCCTATCATAATTGTGACCTCCTGGGCTAGACCCCATCTTTGACCCTGCTCCAGTGGGTTTCAGCAGAGGATACTACCTGGGCTCCCTCCTAGTCTTCATCCTGATTCTCTGAGGGTTCCAGGGCCTGGAGCCAGTCATCCAAAGGGGTGGAATTCGTTGGCTCTAAGAGATTGTCCATTCCACACCTAGGAAGGCAGCAGAGTCAGAGAAATGCGCACTTCATTCAGACTCTCCCTTTTCAGCCAGTGAAAGTGAAACCTCTGTAAAGTGGGGAGAGATAAGGCTTAGTCCACCACTCCAGGAAGGAACAAGGAATAGTGCACACACCCCTCAACCTGCAGAGGCTGGCTGGGAGGGTCCCAGGAATGTAGGGCTCTTCTCCACTTCCTGATCTGGGCATCCCAGGAGCGACGGCTGTACCTCCTGTTCTTGTTTGGTGTCTGAGGGTGAAGTCCTGGCTGTCGCTGTGCCCTGTCAATGACAAATGTGTCAGACTAAGGTCAAGGCCAAGGGGCACAACTTATTGCTTATTATGGTGAATTAGGAGACTCATTAGGGATTTCCTGAGAATGAGGTAAAATCAATGTCCTCAATCCAAAGAAGATGTTTAAATTGGATTAAACATCAAACTTCCCAACTCTCTAATATTCTTTCTTCTGGGTAAGCTAAATTAGATATTCCAAGTCCCTCACTAGTCAAGATAGATAAAGAGGAAAGTATTTGACATCTCTTTAAAACATATTCTACCTTTTCATTCATTAATTTGTATATATGCTTGTAAGCTTACATGTAATTAGGCAGGTATGTTGTAATTAACAGTCAGATGGAGGCATGGGCCTTCCCAGGTGGCACTAGTGGTAAAGAACCCTCCTGTCAATGCAGGAGATGTAAGAAGTGCAACTTCGATCCCTGGGTCAGGAAGATCCCCTGGAGGAGGGCATGGCAACCCACTCCAATATTCATGTTTGGAGAATCCCACAGACAGAGGGAATCTCCTGGGGCTGGGGTCCATAGGGTCAGAAAGAGTCAACTGAAGTACAACTGAAGTAATTTATGCATGCACATGGAGGCATGAGGTGAAAATGGAAGAAAAAAAATTCATTAGCAAACATGAATAGAGCTTTGAGAAGTCTTATGGGTCAAGTATAACTTGTTCCATTTTTAAAAAAATCTTGGAAATTTATTTGGGGACTAGATTACAGGATAATTTAGTAATATTGCAACTTTGTGGGAGCATTCAGATTTTAGTATCTTTCCATCATCTGACATTGAAGAAAAGCCATGTGATTGACACTCTTGTGACTACCCACAACTGCACTCACTTGGGGACCTGCTGCAGAAAGCACTGGTAACCAGGTGTTCGCTTGCCATAATCTATTTGCTTTTGCCGCCGCTGTAGGACAGTTGCATCTGTCTCTAGCTCCCACCTATAAAGACGTAGACAGTGGTCCCAAGAAGTGTTACGATAGTCATCAAAGCAGAAACCAGCTCTTCCCACATTCCCCTTAATCTCCAGCCTGATTGTCAAACTTACCTGACATGGCAGGGCTCTGTACTGACTCCCACACTCATCATCTCTATCCTGGAAGATAAGGACTCTTCACACACCTTCTTTCTGGGGAAGCAGATTCTACAGATGAAAAGGGTATTAGGATAAAACCCAGCTAACTATACTATACCTCTCAGCCACTACACTCCCAAGATCCTGGCACCAGATACAGGTTGTATTCCTGACTCACTGTCTCTCAAAGATAAAGGTTGCATTTCTAATTTGTTTCTCAAAGTGTGGTCTATAAGCCATTTCTATGGGTAGCTTATGGGTGCCTTGATAATTCCTCAGCCCCACTCTAGACCTATTGAATTAGCACTTTGGGAAGTTATATTTTAAAGAGCTTCCAAGGTTATTTTAAACATTTTTTATTATGGAAAATTTCAAATATGCAAAGATAATAGCATAATCCTCTGCTACTCAAAGTTTGACCCTAGGACCAGCTGTATTAGCATCAGCTGAGAACTTGTTAGAAGTGTAGAATCTTGGTAACCAGATCTAGTGAACCACAGTATGCATTTTAGCAAGATCCACAGGTGATTAGTATATAGATTAAACTTTGAGATCTCAAAGTTTAATGGATATCATGGACCTCCTAGTTACCCGTGACCAGTACTCATGGCCAATCTTGTTTCATCTATACTCACCACCACTCCCACAGGATTATTTAAAAGCAAACCCCCAACATTAAGAATAAATTCTTAATATCATCTAGACAGAGGATGAGAGAGATGGTTGGATAGCATCACTGACTCAAGGAACATGAGTTTCAGCAAACTGTGGAAGATGGTGAAGGACAGGGAAGCCTGGCGTGCTGCAGTTCATGGAGTCCCAAAGAGTCAGACGCAACTGAATGACTTAACAATAATAACCACCTAGTCAATGTTCAAATTTCCACTAACAACCAAAATTTGGGATCCTTTGGACTCTGATAAGGATTACGCCATGAGATGATTCTTTCCTTGAAAATAAATTTCTTTTACCTCACAAACCTAGTGTCTCAGATGCTGTGTGCTTAAAAGCGTCACGGACCCAGGAAAGCTCTTGGAAGGGGCCAGTGCTACTCATCATAAATACACACACCTGTCTTGACGCAACATCTGCCACCCTGGCTGCAAATGTTCCATCTATAGGGAAAGGCTAGCAAAAATAAGGAAAGGTCCACGTAACGGCACGAGAAAGAAGCAAGGGAAAAAAAACACAACCCATTTAAAACATCCTCCCACATAAATGAATTCCTCCAGGTCTTATCCTAGGGAGTGGTCGTCGCTAGCAAGGCGCAATTTAAATGTCCCGGGGTTGAAGGTGCTGAAGGGGCCGAAGGAAAGGAGAGCTCGGAAAGGGTGTGGTGATTGGCCAGAGAGAGAGCCAATGAGGGGCCAAGCTCCCTATGAGGCGGGGCTTATCTAGGGGCTGGCCCAAAGCAGGTGGTCTAATTGGAAGCCTGCTGGCCTGTGGGGCGGGGCAAACATCCTTCCGAACAGCTCACGCCCCCGGTGATGTAGGAGGCAGAAGATTGGCCCAGCTTGTCTAGGCGGGTGCGCGGAGGTAGGCTGACGCAGCTGTGAGGCGAGCGTGATAGGTTTTTGGGAAGGCGGAAGGTTTGAATGGTCAAGGCTTTTGGCTGTTAATCTTACTGTGAGGCTGTAACGTCAACCGTCTGCAGAGAGAAGCGGCAAAACCCGACCCGGGCCTATCTGGTCGAGAGGCATAGATGTCTGGTTAAATCGCCTTTACCTCAGATTTTCTTTAATTCTTCTAGAATCTTCGCTCGTGTGTGATTTCCCTGCCTACTTTCATTGCTCCTGAAGGCAAGTCTCGGACTCAAACCTGAGGTAAGCCTGGAACTGTGTCCTCCACAGAATCACGGGCCTCGCGAACGGTGTTTAGGGGGACAAAACAGGTATTATCGCGAGTTAGAAGACCTGAGTTCCTTCCTGTCAGGAGTCATGAACTGTGTGGCCCCTAACAAGTCAAAGGCCTCTTTTCACTTCATCTTCAAAACCCTGAGGTTGCCTTTCTGTAAGTTAAGTTTCCAATGGAAAGGCCAAGCCGCTTCCGGCAAGTGCTATTTCACCTTCAGGCCAATCTGTGATTCACCGTTTGGGAATGCCCCCTTCTCCAATACTGGTTCATTTGGTTGCAACTGGAAAGGGTGGAGGAGGTTGTATAGGTGACGTTTTCCCTCTCTTGTGTTGTTTAGTAGAGTCCGACTCTTTTGCGACCCTATGGACTGCAGTCCACCAGGCTCCTCTGTCCATGGGATTTCCCAGACAAGAATACTAGAGTGGGTTGCCATTTCCTCCTCCAAGGGATCTTCCCCACCCAGGGATTCAACCCACGTGTCCTGCATTGGCAGGCAGATTCTTTTTACCGCTGAGCCATCTGGGAAGCCTTGTCCCTTAGCTAGGTTTTGTTTTTTCTTAGAACTTGGAGACAATGTCTGCAGAATTCTCATCCAAAAAAGAGAGAAGCCTTGCCTCAGGACCTAGTTTTAGGTCCAATCAGAGGAAGATATTAAACCTGCTTCTTGAGAGAGATGCCTCCTTTTCCATCAGTTCAGATCTCCCTAGAACTCCAGTGGAGAAGAAACTTTTTGGTGACTCTGCAAACCTAAGCATTTTGTCTGGGTAAATCTACCTTTTCTTTTCACATCTCCTTTGCTCTTCTAAACAGTTTTTGGGTTTTTTAAAAATTATCCTGGTTCAGAGATAAGGGTTAAGCTACTCTCCTTGACTAACCATTTAACAGTTTTGAGTCTAAGGCTTCTTTTCTGTGACATAGAAATAATAATCCCTTACTGTCTTACTATTCTATATGATCTTACTAGGATCATATAGAATCACATGATGAGGAAAGTCTTTGAAAACTATTGCATCACGTGAGTTGTCACTTTATAAGTACTACAGTTAACATTACTTTTCTTGTTGTTTAGTTGCTAGTGCCCAATTCTTTTGCAACCCCATGGGCTGTAGCTGTCGAGGCTCCTCTGTGGTGTTTCCCAGGCAGTAATACTGGAGTGGGTTGCCATTTTCTTCTCCAGGGGATCTTCCCAACCCAGGGATTTAACCCAAAACTCCTGCATTGACAGATGGATTCTTTAACACTGAGCTACCAGGGAAGCCCCTATTGTACTTTAAACTCTGGTAATGCCATGCTCTGATGCCTCAACTAGCCAGCAAAGTTGGAAGTCAGAGAAGTACTGAAGACTCCAGGGAGAAATAAAATCTGTGTGCTCATGGTGCTCAGGGCAAAAGATGAGAAATCAAGACCCACCTCAGCCATTTTCTTAAATTACCTTGATTCAACATGTTGATGAGGAGAAAATGAGGTATTATTGGAATAGAGAAAAGGTAGGAGATTTTTCTCAAGCCTAGTCTGACGTGTTTCCAAAAATCAGTTAAATTTATTTGAAGACTATTTTATGCGGTAGTCAGGGAGGGGTATTTCAAATGAAGAGGATAATGTGATTTTTGCCTTTTAGGATATTTTAACGCAGTGGGAATCTTGATGTATTATTATGTCTCAACAGAGGAACCCCAAAACGTTGCCTTGATCTTTCGAATCTTAGCAGCGGGGAGACGTCTGCCACTCAGCTTACTGCTTCTGCAGACCTTGATGAAACTGGTAGGGAAAAGGGAAGTAAAGGCCTCAAGGGAAAGAATAATTGTTAGGGGAGAGGACAGTAGTATGATAGAGATGGAAGGTGGTAAAAGTGGATTTAAAAAAAAAAGTAGATAGCCTTGAGGATGGAATTCTTTGAGTACCTAGAGGATTTTTGAGAAGAATGATTCAGCCAATGGGAAGAGAATTGACCCAAGTAGGAGTCACTTTGCATTGAGAAAGTTAGACAAGAAGGAATATTTTGTTGATTGATTGTGGGAATGAAAGTGCTAGTTAAAGATGATAAGTTTTATGCCCCAGTCTAGTTTCAGCAGAGACAAAGAAGCCAACATAAAGAAATGCTTTGTCAACTAATTCTTATGTGTTTTTATACGGTGTGTACCCCAAAGGAATGTGTTTTACTAGTCAACCATTTTAGTATTTGTTCTAATTTCATATTTCCTGAGTGATAAATTTTCCTTTTTACTGATGAAAAAAATCTCTGTAGGTTAGCATAATTCACTATTACTGAGAAATTTTCCTTTATGTGACACGTGCAGATTTTCAAGTTTCCATGAACTTGTACCATGGTACCTTGTATCATGAAATTGGTATTTATCAAGAGCCTTTGTGTTTAAAAGTTCAGCTTTTGAAATTAATACGGCTCACTGGTAATGAAAATTAGAAGGAAAGACAAAATACATGAACAAGAATAACTCTTTACATCTGATTGCAGGTCATTTGGAGTCTACAGGACCTGAGCAAGTACAGTTAGCTGGAATGTAAGTTCTTTTGCTAAATGAATCCCGTACTAAAGTATTAAAGCCTTCTCAGCACTGGCCTAGGGATTTTTTCCCATGCAGACTCTATAGAGAATGTTTCACCTTAGGTGTAAGGGGGCTTGAAGGTGTAGGTTCTTCCCTTGAAAGATATTTTAAGTTTCCAAAATCGAAATTGTGTTGTGAGGGACTTCCCTGGAGGCACAGTGGATGGAAATCCAGCTACCAATGCAGGAGACTTAGGTTTGATCCCTGTCCTGGGGAAATTCCACATACTGTGGAGCAACTAAGCCCATGTGCCACAACTTTTGAGCCTGTGCTCTAGAGCCCAGAGTCACACCTACTGAGCCTGCATGCCATACCCACTGATGCCCATGCGCCTAGAGCCTGTGCTCTGCAAGAAGAGAAGCACTGCATTGAGAAGCCTGAGCATTGCAATGAAGAGTAGCCCCCTTGTTGCAATTAGAGAAAGCCTGTGGGCAGCAGCAAAGACCCAATGCAATCAAAAAATAAAATAAATAAAAAATAGTAGATTACTTATATAAAAAATAGTGGTGTGAAAATGAAGGCTATTTATTTTAACCCTCACATACAATCAGTATTGTCTTTAAAATGGAAGAGAATGGTATACTGAACTTAGATGGAGGCTGTTATCTGCCTGTGAGTAGTACTAAATCTTAGTGTTCAAAAGTGCATCAGAGTGCAGGCTCTGGAATCAGAGTGTCTGGATTTCAGTGTCTACTGCTTCATCAACTTACTTTGACAAGTTTCTTAACCTCAAGGAACCTCAGTTTATTTGGAATAAAGAAATAATAATAATGGAGATAATAGCACTTTTCATAAATGACTCCTGTGAGGATTAAATGAAGATGTATACCTAATACATATGCTGCATTTTATAATGTTTATTGTTACTATTGAAGATTCTTTATTGAAGATCTTAGAAAAATGTTCAGTTAGAGAGTACTCAAGGAATGAAAAGTACTTTATCATGAATTTTCCATTTGATTGTTTTAATATTTTTGTAACTTTATTCTTCAAAGTTTAGATAAATTAGGTGCCTCTGTGCACTAGGGAAGACTCTCCATGAGTATTTTTAATCAATACATGTGAAAATTTTACTTTATATTGCTTTTATTTTCTTTGAATTGCTTGTATGTCCTAACCCAGGTAGACTAGATGAAGTCTGGGGAGGGAGGATAGAAATCCATAAAAATAAATATTAACTCCCAATAGTCCATGCTGAAAAATTAGCAAACTGTAAATTGTGTCTATATAAGATATAGGACAAAGTCATCATCTTTAATGCATATCTATGTATGGTTATGCCAGTGAGGTGAGGTCCTCATCCCCAGGATGTCACTCAATGTCTTATTATTTACCACAGAGAACACCCTATATATTGTTATTGGAAGAGACATCAATTAGGTACAGGTCTCCTAGAGCGCAAGAAAAGAAAGGTGGGATGTCCTAAGTCACTGAAGAATAACCAAATCGTGTTTGGGGTTTGAATGACTGGCAGTTTTTCTTTTTTTGATCTACAGAAATTACCACCAGCATCTTATAAAATGTAGCCCAGTGAGTAACTCATTTTCTTGGGTTTGGGTTTGTCAGGTGGGAGGCAGAGGATTTCCAGCTTAGCTCGAGGATGCGGATGCCGGATGTTCTTTGAAAACAATCTCTTGTAGGCACAGCTGTTTTGTAGCACTCCGAATGCCTTGGACCGTGGCCGCAGGAAGAAAGACGCAGTATGTGGCTTGTCTGCAAATAAGGAAAATGTGAGTTTAATGGAAACCTAGGTCCATTAGTAGTTTTATTCCTTTGAGAAGAGCAACTAACTCATCAGTATCACTATGAGACTTAGAGCTGTCTGTGCTTCAGTATGCTTGAGAAGCAAATTGCAACACTAGAGGAAAAAATTCTTTATAGTTTGGTTTTTTTTTCCATTTAAGGTTTGATCCTAGTATGGAAACCTGGCTTCCAGTCTTCCACAGCAGGTCATCATTATTACTCATGTTCAGTTGATTGTAATGTAAAAAATTTAGAACTTAAAACACAGGGATGATTTACATAACTTGTTCACATATTCATTGCATGGCTTCATATACAAGTCCAGGTTTTTTAATTTCTTATTTCCCTCTTAGTCTAGCTTCTTAGCCCCTATTCTGAGGAAGTCATTGTCCTTTTTTGTCTGAGTCTCAGATCATCCTTCAGTTCGCAAGTTGAAACTAGCTTCTCCAAAGCTATATAATAGCTAAAATAATTCTCTAACTCATCCCTTCATTAATCCCTTTTTCTAACCATCTTTTTGCTTTTCCTGTCCTCCCATCCTTTCCTCCAGGTCAGTATGTATAAATGATAGCTGCTGTTCTTCTTTGCTCACATTGCCTAAGTTATGCCCATGTTTTTTGGCTGTCCTAATCAGCTTTTTCTTGAATTAATACAGTTCTACTCTGTTTATAATCACTATTTAAAAATCTCATCATTCCTTCCCCTGTCCGGCTCCCTTTTTCCTCCCTCCCTTTGGCTTGTGATCATAAAATCAGTACCCTCCAGAGCATGCTGTTTTATACACCATACATCAAATCCAAACCATAATTTGTATTTTCAGGATATGTGGTCAACCTTGATTACATGTACTATGTTTTGTGAGGGTTATCCATGGCTTCATCAGATGAAATGTTTTTGGCAGTCTGCTGACACCTCTTCTTTCAGCCAGTGTAGTTTTTCTTGTGCAGGAAAAGAGCACTTCAAAGTCCCTGGAGTGGTGGGTACCCAGGAACCTGAGGTCTCCCCTTTCTCTACTGGTGAGTCACTGGACATCATCCTCAACAATCAACTGAGGTGTTGTGGAGTAGAGGATTGCAGATCTGGATTTATGGCCCTTTGAATTTTCTTATCTGACTTGAGTGAGAAAAGGGGTTGGAGAAGTAACCTTTGAGCAAGGAAAGGGAGGAGACATGTCCTCTGATCTTTTTATGTTCAAGTTTAAGAAGAAGAATAAATTCTTAGGCCTTTTAAAGCATTTCTCCTTTATTCTTTAAGTGTTTCCCTCTTCTTTCTCATGGCTTCCAGGTGGCTCAGTGGGTAAAGAATCTGTCTGGAACGCAGAAGATATGGTTTCAATCTCTAGTTGGGAAGATCCCCTGGAGGAGGGCATGGCAACCCACTCCAGTATTCTTGCCTGGAGAATCCCATGGACAGAGGAGCCTGGCTGGCCACAGTTCATGGGGTCCTCAAGAGTCAGACACGACTGAAGCAACTGAGCATGCATGCACCCTCTCTTTGTCAGTTTTAAAAGTACTGTGTACCCATTGTGAAAACTGTGTAAAAAATATAGTAAGCCATAAAAAAGAAAATAGCTACCTCATAGAGAAAAACTACTATTAACATTTACCTCATTGCTTTCAATCTTTTAACCATGTGTATAGTTTTACAAAGTTGAGGTCATATTGTATATATAACTTTATATTCTATTATTTTAAATATTAAAACTCTTAGTAAGCAGTTCTTAATGGATGCTTTTATTCTAATAATTGAACTGTAATTTATATAAGTACATCCCGATTGTTGGGCACTTATGGATATATACATTTTGCTTTTACAAATAATGATATCATGTAAATTCCTGAGCACAAATTTTGCCTGTTAACAATTTTTTTATTTAGGATTAGTACCAAATATTATAATTACTAGATTAAAGGGTTTAAATATTTTTAAGATTTTTGATACATATTGCCAAATTCCTTTCCAAATAAAGTTCTAAGAATTTACATTTTCATGAGCAATCCATAGCTCATTTGGATAAATGATTTGTTACCACTTTTAAAAATTTGCTAATTAGATGGGTAAAATGTTTTGTTTTATGTTAAAAATAATTAGTAATGATTACATGTCCCTTAGCCATGCATACTTTCTCTAGTGAATGATTGTGTCCTTTGTCCATTTAGCTATTGGAGTTTTAAGTTGCACAGGTGCTCACTTGTTGTTGTGTTTGTTTAATTGAAGTATATTTGATTTACAAGGTTGTGTTAGTTTCAGGCATCACTTGTTTTTAATAAACTGTGAACTTGATATACTCCTGAGATTTGGATCCTAATCTCAACACTCTGGGGAAGGCATTTTAATATGCCCCATACTAAGGAGATAAAGTTGAGCATGTTTCAGATTTTTCACATCTTGGAGTAAGGCAAGACTTGGAGCATAGTAAATTGCTAGATAGCTGTTAGTATATGTATGTGTAATTTTTTTTAATATAGAAAAATATACATAACATTTACCTTCTGAACCATTTTTGTGTACAATCAGTGGCATTAAGTATGTTCACAACATTAAGTACGTTCACTATCCATTTAAGAATTTTTTTATCATTAAAAACAGAAGCTCTCTGCTCACTAAATAATGGTGGTGGTGGTTTAGTCTCTGAATTGTGTCTGACTGTTGTGACTCCCGTGGACTGTAGCCCACCAGTCTCCTTTGTCCTTGGGATTTCCCAGGCAAGAATACTGGAGTGAGTTGCCATTTCCTTCTCTTGGGGATCTTCCTGACCCAGGGATTGAACCTGTGTCTTCTCCATTGTAGGTGGATTCTTTACCACTGAGCCACAGGGAAGTCGCCCATTAAACAATAACTTCCCCTTTCTCCCTCTGGTAACCTTTAGTCTACTTTCTGTCTCTGTGAACTTGACTGCTCTAGGTACTGCTTCATGTAAGTAGAATAATATAATATTTGGCCTTTTCTGTCTGGTTTATCTTACTTAGCATAATATCTTCAAGGTTCATCCATACTGTAACATGCATTAGAATTTTGTTTCTTTTTATGGCTGGATAATATTCTATTATATGGATATACTACATTTTGTTTATGCATTATTCTGTTGATGGACATTTGGTTTGTTTCTACCTTTTAGCTATTGTGAATAATGCTGCTATGAACATTAATATAAAAATATCTGTTAAAATCCCTACTCTCAATTCTTTGGAGTATATACCAAAAAACAGAATTGCTGGATCATACATGGTAATTGTATGTTTAATTTTTTGGTAGAATCACCATACCATTATCCACAGCAGCTACATCATTTGACATTTCCCACAACAATGTATATGGTTCCAACTTCTCCATATCCTTGCTGACACTTGTTATTTTCTGTTTTTTTGTTTGCTTGTAGCTTTCCTAATAGGTACAAAGTAGTATCTCTGTGGTTTTGATTTGCATTTCCGTTATGACTAGTTATGTTGTGCATCTTTTCATATGGTAGTTGGTCATTTGTATATCTTTTTTCAATAAATGTCTATTCAAGTCCTATTTTCTGTTATTGTTGCTATTGTTGTTGTTGAGTTTTGGAAGTTCTTTATGTGTCTTGAATATTAACCACTTATCAGATATGTGATTGGCAAATATTTCCTCCTATAGGTTACTTTTTCAGTTTTTTAATAATATTCTTTGATGTACAAAGGTTTTTAATTTTGATGAAGTCCAGTTTATCCTATTTTTCTTTTGTTGCTTGTGCTTTTATATAATATTCAAGGAATCATTGCCAAATCCAATGTCATAAAGCTTACCTCATACTATTTTTTTCTAAGAGTTTTATAGTTTTAGCTCTTACATTTAGGTCTTTGATTCATTCTGAGTTAATATTTGTATATTGTTATAAGTTAAGAGTCCTAGATAGTTTTTAATATTGTCAATATACTTTGTAGGACAATGGAAACTTGGTGGAAAGTGAAATGAAACATCTGGGCAGTCCCATTACTACAGTTTCAAAATTACATAAAAATCCAGAGCTAGCAGAAGATCAAGCAGAAGAGATATCAGATGAATTGATGGAGTTTTCACTGGAAGATCAAGAAAAGGCCAAGGTAAAATACTCTCTGATAGTATCTTTGTGTTTTTCATGTTCCTTCATTCTTGAATAAATAAAATTGTGTCTCTAATATGTTGCAGCCACTGGACTATGTGGTAGGTCTGAAGAGATCAAGAAGATATGGTCTCTATACTCTAAGGGTTACGTGACTGATAGAGTGTCAGGTCATCATGGGAATATTACTGCTGGTGAGAAGGTTTGTTAGCAGTTTGAGTAAATCACCGTCAGTGTAATCTGGTGTAAAAGATAGCTCCAGAATAATAGTAATAGATAAAATATGTTTAGGATGATTTTTCAGATATTTTAGAGTATATCTTTTTGTCTTTTATCCTTTCCATATTACTAAGAGGAATATATGAAGCCTGTGTTATTAGCAATATGCTGATATGTCAAAGATGCTTTCTTAGGCATTTAGATTTTCTCTGTTTCTCTTTTTTTTGCATTTTGATTTTCTGAGTCAACTTCCTTTCTTTGAAACAAATATATGCAGGGGTTTGCTTTTTTGGTGGGATCCAACATTCTCCTGGCAATGGTTGTCCAGCAGTGAGTTGCACTTTTGGAGTTCTCGCAGGAGAAGATGAGCATATGTCTTTCTACTCTGCCATCTTTACATGTAGACTGTTAAGATTAAGTTCTAGGACCCGCAACAGATTTCCCAATTTGGGGGTCTGGCAAAGGGACTGAGAACCCCCAGGGAATTTGACTTTAGAGGCCAGTGGGATTTGATAACAGAACTTCCACAGGACTGGAAACAGACTCTTGGGGGGCACAGACAAAACCTTGTGTGCACCAGGACCCAGGAAAAAGGAGCAGTGTCCCCACAAGAGACTGAGCCAGACTTGCCGTGAGTGTCCAGGAGTCTTTGGCGGAGGTGTGGATCAACAGTGGCCTACTGCATGGTCAGGGGCAATGAATACAACAGTGTAGGAATAAGTCCTTTTGAAGGAGGTTGCCATTATCTTCATTACCCCTACAATCGTTTGGTCTTAGGTCAAACAACAGGAAGGGAACACAGCCTCACCCATCAGTAGAAAATTGGATTCAAGATTTACTGAGCCTCTTTCCCGGCTGGAACCATGGAGGGTGCAGAAGAGAAGAAAAAGAAGATTCCTGCTGTGCCAGAAATCCTTAAGAAAAAGCGAAAGAATTTCGTAGAGCTTAAGATCAAGCGCCTGAGAAAGAAGTTTGCCCAAAAGATGCTTCGAAAGGCTAGGAGGAAGCTTATTTATGTAAAAGCTAAGTATTACCACAAGGAATACAGGCAGATGTATGTACAGGACTGAAATTCGAATGGCTCAGATGGCACAAAAGCTGGCAATTTCTATGTACCCGCGGAACCCAAATTGGCATTTGTCATCAGGATCAGAGGTATCAATGGTGTGAGCCCAAAGGTTTGAAAGGTGCTGCAGCTCCTTTGCCTCCGGCGGATCTTCAGTGGCACCTTTGTGAAGCTCAACAAGGCATCAATTAACATGCTGAAAATTGTGGAGCCATACATTGCATGGGGATACCCAAATCTGAAGTCTGTAAATGAATTGATCTACAAGTGTGGTTATGGCAAAATCAACAAAAATCGAATTGCCCTGACAAACAACGCATTGATTGCTCGATCTCTTGGGAAATACAGAATCATCTTCATGGAGGATCTGATTCATGAGATCGATACCATTGGAAAACGTTTCAAAGAAGCAAACAACTTCCTGTGGTCCTTTAAATTGTCTTCTCCATGAGGTGGAATGAAGAAAAAGACCACCCATTTTGTAGAAGGTGGAGATGCTGGCAACAGGGAAGACCAGATCAACAGGCTTATTAGAAGGATGAACTAAGGTATCTACCAGGATTATTTTTGTAATCTGGTCTGTTAATAAACAATTGAAACAAATTGAAAAAAAAAATTAAAAAACAGATTTACTGAGCATAGCCCCTATAAAGAAAGCTGAGCACTGAAGAATTGATGCTTTTGAACTATGGTGTAGGAAAAGACTCTTAAAAGTCCCTTGGACTGCAAGGAGATCAAACCAGTCCATCCTAAAGGAAATCAGTCCTTAATATTCATTGGAAGGACTGATACTGAAGCTGAAACTCCAATACTTGGGCCACCTGATGTGAACGACTGACTCACTGGAAAAGACCCTGATGCTAGGAAAGATTGAAGGTGGGAGGAAAAGTGGAAGACAGAGGATGAGATGGTTGGATGGCATCACCAACTCTATGGACATGAATTTGAGTAAGCTCCGGGAATTGGTGATAGACAGGGGAGTCTGGTGTGCTGCAGTCCATGGGGTCACAAAGAGTTGGACATGACTGAGTGACTGAACTGCACTGAGCATAGCCCCACCCTTCAGAACAAGACCCAGATTCCCCCACAGTCAGTCTTTCCCATCAGTAAACTTCCACAAGCTTCATCCTTATCTGTCAGAGGGCAGACAGAATGAAAACCACAATCACAGAAAACTAACCAAATTGATCACATGGATCACAGCCTTGTCTAACTCAATGAAACTATGAGCCCTGCTCTGTAGGGCCACCCAAGACAGACGGGTCATGGTGGAGAGTTCTGGCAAAACGAGGACCACTGGAGAAGGGAATGGCAAACCACTTCAGTATTCTTGTCTTGACAACCACATTATCGGTATGAAAAAGCAAAAAGATAGGACACTGAAAGATGAACTTCCCAGGTCAGTAGGTGCCCAACATGCTACTGGAGAAGAGTGGAGAAAAACTCCAGAAAGAATGAAGAGATGGAGCCAAAGCGAAAACAACATCCAGTTGTGGATGTGATTGGTGATGGAAGCAAAGTCCAATGCTGTAAAGAACAATAATGCATAGGAACCTGGAGTGTTAGATCCATGAATCATCATAAATTGGAAGTGGTCAAACAGGAGATGGCAAGAGTGAAAATTGACATTTTAGGAATCAGTGAACCAAAATGGACCAGAATGGGTGAATTTAACTCGGATGACCATTATATCTACTACTGTGGGCAAGAATAACTTAGAAGAAATGGAGTAGCCCTCAGAGTCATCAAGAGTCTGAAATGCAGTACTTGGGTGCAATTTCAAGAATGACAGAATGATCTCTGTTCGTTTCCAAGGCAAACCATTCAGTATCATGGTAATCCAAGCCTATGCCCCAACCAGTAATGCTGAAGAAGCTGAAGTTGAATGCTTCTATGAAGACCTATGAGACCTTTTAGAACTAACACCCAAAAAAGATGTCCTTTTCATTATAGGGGACTGGAATGCAAAAATCAGCTATAGTTCAATTTAAAAATCCTTGTACCTTTAATATTTTTGCTTGTATCTGTTAGGACCTCTTTCTGCACTTGTTACAACCTCTAGTACACTGTTGTATAGAAACAGTGATAGGCATCCTTATCTTGATCCTAATGTAAAATAAATATTTTTTAATGTTTCACTATTAAGTATGAAGTTTGTTGTTGGTTTTTGGTAAATGCCTTTTATCACTTTAAGGGGGTTCATATATTCCAAGCTGGTGAAGAGTTTTTATAATGAATATGTCTGGAATACTATGTTTTATACACATATATGATATATCTCAGGCTTCCCAGGTGGCGCTAGTGGTAAAGAACCTGTCTGCCAATAGAAGAGACACAAGAGACACAGGTTCAATCCCTGGGTGGGGAAGATCCCCTGGAGGAGGGCACGGCAACCCACTCCAGTATTCTTGCCTAGAGAAACCTATGGACAGAAGAGCCTGTGAGCTACAGCCCATAGAATCACAAAAAGTTGGACACGACTGAACTGACTTACACACACTTGGATGATATACCTCATATAGTAGATATTTACATATATCTTATATGGTATACGTGACCTATATTATATATCACATACTAGTATATATGTGTGTGTGTCAAAGAAGAAAAACCTTATAGTTATTTCAGTACATATATCTCTATTACTGAAATAGAGACAATGGGAGATGTAATGGGAGATAGATATGGAACATGGGGCAGCTAAATTTTAATGGGGTGGTGTTTTACAAAGGTCTGAAACAAGGNAGATTGACAGGAGAAATATCATAACCTCAGATATGCGGATTACACTATCCTTACAGCAGAAAGTGAAGAGGAACTAAAGAGCCTCTTGATGAAAGTGAAAGATGAGAGTGAAAAAGTTGGCTTAAAACCCAACATTCAAAAGCAAAGATCTTGGCACCTGGTCCCATCATTGCATGGAAAATAGATGGGGAAACAACAGAAACAGTGACAGACTTGATTTTCTTGGGCTCCAAAATCACTGCAGATGGTGACTGCAGCCTTGAAATTAAAAGATGCTTGTACCTTGGAAGAAAAGCTATGACAAACCTAGACAACAAATTAAAAGACAGAGACATTACTTTGCCCACAAAGATCTGTCTAGTCAAAACTACAGTCATGTATGTAGTCATGTATGGATGTGAGAGTTGGACTGTAAAGAAAGCTGAGCACCAAAGAATTGATGCTTTTGAACTGTGGTGTTGGAGAAAACTCTTGAGAGTCCCTTGGACTGCAAGGAAATCCAACCAGTTAATCCTAAAGGTGATCAGTCCTGGGTGTTCATTGGATGGACTGATGTTGAAGCTGAAACTCCCAATACTTTGGCCACCTGATGCGAAGAGTTGACTCATTTGAAAAGACCCTGATGCTGGGAAAGATTGAGGGCAGGAGGAGAAGGGGACAGAGGATGAGATGGTTGGATAGCACCACCGACTCAATGGACGTGAGTTTGAGTAAACTCCGGGAGTTGGTGATGGACAGGGAGCCCTCGTGTCCTGGGGTTCATGGGGTTGCAGAGTTGGACACTACTGAACTACTGAACTGAACTGAAGTATGGTGTCTCCTGCTGAAGATACCTGGGTGGTAAAAATCATACAAGGAGGAATTCCCTGGCAGTCTAATGGTTAGGACTCTATGTTCTCACTGCCAAGGGCCACTGTTAAATACCTGGTAGGGAAAATAAGATCCCACAACCTTGTGGCATGGCTGGAAAAAAAAATTAAAGCAGGGAAGAAAAAAAAAAAAGAAATCTTACTACTAGGGACTTAGAAAAATGATAGTTGCTTGTTTTGCACACTTGGTTAGCTGAATATACAGAGTTTGAATGAACTAAAGTGTTGAGAAAGATGGTTAAGCAATTATCTAAAGTAATGCTGTTCAGTATAGCTTTCGGAGATGATGGAAATATTTTATATTTGATACAATAGCCACTAGCTACTAGCCACATGATGCATTGAGAACTTAAAATGTGGGTAGTGCCTCTGAGGAAATGAATTTTTTTTTTTTTAGTTTTAATTCTTGCAAATAGCCATGTGTAGTTTGTGTTTCTATAATGAGTAGCACAGATCTAGAACACTCTATAAAGTATGTCCCTGGAGCAGGAGCATCAGTATCAGGTAGGAACTTCTTAGCCATGCAAATATATGGGCTCCACCCCAGGCCTGCAAATATATGGGCCCCACCCCAGATCCTAAAAGATGATGTTGTGAAAGTGCTGTACTCAATATGGCAGCAAATTTGGAAAATACAGGATTAGCTGCAGAACTGGAAAAGGTCAGTTTTCATTCCAATCCCAAAGAATGTTCAAACTATTGCACAGTTATACTCATCTCACACACTAGGAAAGTAATGCTCAAAATTCTCCAAGCTAGGCTTTAGCAGTACGTGAACCAAGAACTTCCAGATATTCAAGCTGGGTTTAGAAGAGGCAGATGAACCATAAATCAAATGGCCAACATTCATTGGATCATATAAAAAGCAAGACAGTTCCCCAAAAATATCTACTTCTGCTTCATTGACTACGATAAAGCCTTATCGACTGTGTGGATCACAACAAACTGGAAAATTCTTCAAGAAATGGGAATATCAGACCACTGACCACTTAACCTGCCTCCTGAGAAATCTGTATGCAGGTCAAGAAGCAACAGTTAGAACTGGACATGAAACAACAGACTGCTTCCAAACTGAGAAAGGAGTACATCAAGGCTGTATATTGTCACCCTGCTTATTTAACTTATGTGCAGAGTACATCGTGTGAAAAACCAGGCTGGATGAAGCAGAAGCTGGCATCCAG